CTCGTAAATTTCGCGTCCTTTGGGTCCAATGCAGGTTAAGAAAATGGGGGTTTTCACTTTATCGCTCTTTGAATCTGATTCAGTAGCAGTGAGATAAAAATTGAAGTGTTTTTCCCATATTTTCCAGCCATGAGATACGTTTCCTTCTAAGGAAAATGGCGGCGGTGGATGAAGCTTATCCATAAATGACGATTAAATCCAATTAAAATCTACCAAATTTCGAGGCAAAGCGAGACACAACGTCAACGAAGAACGATCAAACGATTAGATATATAAAAATTCGGTTATAAACAAACTTTAGCAGCGAAAATCCCTTCCTGACACCATGTTCTGTTTGAATACACACGTTTTAAGACAGAGAATGTTAAAAACATATATTTGGCGCGAACGCATTGTATGACGTAATTACAAGACTTAAATAACATACGTCAGAATAACAAAACAAATATGTAACACACTGATTTGGACTTAGTAAACCAGGATTGATATCAATATGGTTTACTAAGGTTTTGTGTACTTCCTTCTCCATTAATTTGCTTGGGGTGCACAGCATGGATAATGGTCTATAATTATCTCTTAGAATGTTGTGATTATATACATTTTAAGACCTGACGAGGAACGACTGCGAAAAATGCAGCACAAGGTCTTCTCTGCCCGATGTTCCTCTTGTTCAGGTTGAATTGGTCTCCGGTTTGGACCTGTGTGAGCTGTCCAATAGTTGTTGTTCTTTCGTGGACAGACGGTCTTGCCATTTAGCCAGCGATAACCAGGGTCGAGCAAATACTCCGTCAGGCCAGAAAGGTGTTTCTTTCACAACATCGAAATCTTTAGCGACGACGTTTATACGAACGGACGTTGTTCCTTTTCTTTTGCTTTGCATCAAGCGTTCGAATGTTGGATTTATATTCCTTTTCATCATATACTCTCTGATATTTTCTGAACTAACGCCTTCTCTTATGCCTCCAAGGAATACACGTTTTGTCCTTTGTCTTTCAACACCAACAAATTGAACATCGTTCGCGTTGTTTGTCTCATTGTTCTCATGGATTGTGTTTAGTCCTGTTACTTTATTCCCTGATTCATTAGGTGCGTTAAGTTGTCCGCCGCCTTGCGTGATCTCTGCTTGCTCCCTATCCTTCTGTACGAGGCTTTTCTTGACTGTGGTATTCTTTAAGGTCTCCACTCCCTGGGTGTCCGGTTTTCTGTTATTTTCTACTGGATCTGCCCCTTGTCCATGTTTTGACGGATTTGCATCTATGCTCTGGGGTTCTGCCACTGGGTTCTTTGAGGATTTCCGTTACTTAAATTGCTTTCACCATGTTCTTGGTGTTGCTTTTTCTTGATACGGTCGAGATCCCCTACTTGCGTTACTGACTTTGTTTCCCATAGTCTCTACTTTGCCCTTTAGAGAAGTTAGCTCTTCAGCGTTTCCCTTTATTTCCTCTTTAAACCGCTGGTGAATGGCTTTTGATTGTCTTTTGAGGCTTGATATCTCAGTTTCCAATGTTTGGATTTTTGAATTTCTAGCTTCCAACACAGAATTGAGTTCATTAACTTTATTTTCAAATCTTTTCACTGATTCCGCGCATTCTTCTATAACTGTAAGAAGTTCTTTCCTCATGTTTTTTACTAAGACTAGGGTGTATTTACAGGACATTTTCTCATCCGAATGTTTGGTTTTGGTGACTGGATGTGAATTGGAATTCATCTGGCAAAACGTATCTGTTAGACTTTGCGTAAGGTCTCTCGACTTTCAACATTTCCTCGCTTCACCCGGTGTTGACAAACCATCCGCTTGACTTGGGGTAACTTGACTGAGTGGTTTCTCTGCACCTGCTTCAGCGTCACTACACCAGTGAATTGTGTTTACCACACCTGATTCACTGACAACTGATAGATCGGATAATCCATTTTCGTTTTTGAACATGTCCTTTAACCCCATTGTGACAACCCTGGTATTAAAGTTCTCGTGCATTTCACAAATATCATTTGCCAAACGTTCTTCCAAGGTCGAGAAATTGCTGCATCCTTTCGGTTTTCTTCTAGTATAAGGATCACCTTTTGGGAAGGTCTCAAATTACCTCCCTTTCTCGACTAATTTTAATCTAAATTGCGTCAAGCTGTCAATATCTCCCTTCCCAATTAACTCTGCCACGATATCATTTCTGGGTTGCTTTGAAATTTTCTTAATCAGAGCTTCAATTTGATCCGACATTTGAGAACTGTTTTGTAGTTCAAAATTGCAGGCCTACTTAAGCGTTCCTGAAGAACCAGTCCACATAAGAATCGAACAGTACTGTAAGAATTCAAATTGACGTTGATTTTGAAGTTATCATCTTGAAAAGTGCTAAAAATTTGCTTAAAACAGTTCAGATTTCTTGAACTTAAAAAATAACATCCGCCATCTTGGATGCTTCCATCTTGGATGCCGAAAATAGGGCTTTTACGTCTCTGTTTGTTTAAACAAGCAACATTTCAAAAGAATCATCTTTAAAACAAGACAACAAAGCCGTCGGGAAAGAAGAAAGACGTCCAGGTGCGTGGGTGTAACCTGATAACAATGTCAGTCTCACCTTTTATATGACATACAATTAGATATAAGAGATAAACTTATAAATGTTGTTTATATTTCATGTTCTCATTGGCAGTACCACCCCCATAGCCAACCGAGAGCAAAACACAAGCAGAAGGAACAGTATGTCGATCAGTATCTACAATGCTGTTCAATAATCTTAAAAACCTGCCTGAAGTATTTGATAATTTTTTATCAAAATAGCACAAGAACTCACAAGTGGTTTAAAAGAACAAATTATGTAAAACATACTCTCTCTCTCATAATGGAGTTGATGTATGGAACTCACTAGAATAAAAATAATAAATACATAAACTCTCAATACGTCTTCAAAAAGCAAATTAAGCAGCATTTTTTTATAAAAACATTTTATTTGCACATTATCCTGTGTCTTGCAACATGCATCTACAGTGATATTATATCTTATGTTTGCGTTGTAGTTAATTTCCACTTTATCGCTCCTCTATTACTCTGAAAATTCTCTCTGTGATTTGACTGTAAAATAAAATAAAATATTATAAATCTAACAGTTAACTATAAACCTTTACTAGGGCCCTAAAACAAAAATCCTGACAAGGTGTCTAATAGGTCTTTAGCCCAAATTAATATAAAGAAAAAATATGTAAATATTGTCTATGAAACTGTACATAGGGGATAAAAATTACAACTAAGTAAATAAATTATAACGGGACTCTTTCATTGGTAATATTTCTGTCCTCAGGTTATCTGGGGTCAAATTCTTTCCTCAATGTTTAATTGATGCCATGATTTTGGTCTAAATGTTAAATCCTTAACCTTGCTTGGATTCACTTCTTTTCGTGATCCTTTGTTCCATCCTTGAGAAACACTGGTACAGGCAGGGGAAATATATTGCTTGTTGTAAGCATAGTTAATCTTATAGAGGACTGCAAGTTCATGGTTACATGCCTCAGCTGTTCCAGGTGTGCAAGGACACACATCCAAACTTTTATGTGCGAGTCATCACAAATCCTTTGTGATGGACATATTGAGCTTTACAAAAATAAGTCATGAATTAATATCAACAATGAGTCGATAATCATCCAATATGAGTAGGCCCTCTCATCTTTGTATTTTCCAATATATTCAACATCCACTGCCTTTACTCGTACAATGTAGCATTCCATCAGCAAGATTAAAAAAGTAAACTGTAGTAATAAAGTACGCAGATCAAATTTAATTAAAGTCCCTTTGAGCGGAAAATATAGAGGATCAACTTCGCGCCTGCCATGTATTCTACTCTGTAACGCACGTTCGTTGTGGCTGCTACCTTGAACTGGCTGCTACCTTGGATGCCATGAGGACTAATGTGGCAGCGATAACGGAAACCTGGCTGCATGTTGGGGTAGGTGAAGCCTTGTTAATAATGGAGGTTTTACATTACACCAAAGAGATGCAGGTCTGGTGGTCGTGATGGAGCTGTGTGTTTATATGTTTCCCATTGTATTCATTCCAAACGTAGATCCGACCTCGAAAATCCTCTTTACGAACGCATGTGGGTGAACCTTGGTGTGATCTACATTCGCCCTGGTAAATCAGCGGAAGAATTAAATGATCTTATTTAGTATATCGTGGATCCTGCCGACCATGTACGTTCTAACTATCCAGATTGTGGTTTTGCTGTCATGGGTGACTTCAACAGACTAAATATATCTGACATTTTGTTACACCATGATATCAAACAAGTGGTTGAATCTCCTACTCGCAGTACAGTACTGTTGGACTTAATTAATAAATAGCGTATTTCAATAATTTCTATAATAAGCCAGAAACCATTGCACCGTTAGGATCTAATGATCATAATGTCATAACCTGGAACCCAGTGATGCTCCTTGACGGACATCATACAGGAGATCGAACTGAAAATAATAAACGCCCGTTTGAGGCGTTTTACCAGGTCGTCCATGGACGATTTTGGTAGATGGATCAGCCACCATACGTAGTTTAGTGGTTTGGACAGCAACGTTTCAGTTGACAGAATGACGGAGTCTTTTATGCATGACCTTACTGCCGTTGTCCATGCCTTCTTCCCGACAAAGACTGTTCGAATTTACGATACTGATAAGCCATGGATGACATCATCGATTAAGTTATTATTCTTAACCAGACAACGTACTTTCCACTCGGGGATGAATGATCGATGAAAGCATCTGAGAAATAAGGTGCGGAAAACTATACTCCAAAGGAAAGAAACTTTCGACCGTGAAAAAGTTCATAACCTTTTAAAAGACACCATCCCCCGCAAGTCGTGGAACATTATTAATAAAATTTCAGATAGATCTGTGAATTCTACTCCGATCAGTTATGAGGACGAGGTTGGAAATGTGATGTCTGGGATTAATTTAGCCAAACGTTTGAATAAATTTTATATTTCGGCTACGTCTGATCTTCTACCATTGGACAGAAGCAACTTACCGGCCTATCTGCCAGCTCAATATGAACTGCCGGAGATATAAAAGATCAAGTGAGGTGTGCAAAAAACTGTCTGAGATGAACGCTTTCAAATCTGTTGGATCTGACGGTATCCCGAATCGTATCTGGAAAAGCTGGATTCAGGAGGATTTTGCATTAAAATGGCTGACTGAAGACGTCCGACATAAAATTGATCCACAGCAGTTCGGTTCCCTTAAAGGCTCTTCACAATCTGTTGCCTTCTGGACATGTTCGAAAATTGGCTCTCGTCATTAGATCAGCCGGATCATTATCTAAGGATTGGTTATTTGGACTTTAGCAAAGCATTCGACCATATTGATCATAACGTTTTAGTGAAGAAATTGATCGATCTTGGTGTGTGGAGATCATTAATTGCCTGACTTTGTAGTTTTCTTAGTGACCGACGCCAGGCTGTTAATAACCTCAATTCTCTCATTTCGGACTGGGAACTTTGCCGTTGCTGGCATTCAACAGAGAACAAAACTTGGATCGATTTTGTTTGCTATAATGATTAACGATTTCGCAGTTAAATCTCCACTTATAGCAGATCATTTGAAGTTTGTCGATGATGTGACATTGTCAGAAGTAGTTAAGACTGAATCAATTTCGGTTTTACAGACCAACCTCGATACTATTTCGGCCTGGGCGAAAGATAACAACATGAATCTCAACCCCAAGAAATGCAAAGAGATGGTGGTTTGCCCACTAAAGCATACGCCTGATTTAGCACCCCTGTTGCTAAATGATAAAGTAGTATCTCACAAAGTACTTGGCATGACCATAATGGACCATTTGAAGTGGAATAAAAACACCAACGAAATAATTAGCAAAGATCAAAACGTTACATATAATCAGAGTGCTTAAAAAAGCTGGTGTGCCAAGCAATGATCTTACCTGCATATTTTCTTCACTTGTACGGTCTACTCTGGAATGTTGTTGTGTTTTGTGGTGCAATAGTATCCCTGAATATCTCTGTACCAAAATATTAATGATACAAAAATTACGCGCAATGCGTTTAATATTCCCTAATTATCATTACAGCGAAGCTTTGATTGCAGCTAACTTTAGCCGACTGGACGAAAGACGCCTTGAAATCTGTCAGAAAGTATTAACAAAAATTAATAAACCAGATTCGCTGCTCCATCATCTATTGCCCCCCACTCGTGAACAATGTGTCACAGTAAATCTTCGAAACAGTTCCAATCTCTCTCTGATTTTAAACTAAGACAATTTTACCATTTTTATATTCCAGCGCATTTGTAATTTGTTGTATTTTTATATATAACTTTGTTGTAAACATATTGCAATTCACATACGTTTCCAATGAGCTACTAACCAGGCTATTATTTCTCAGAAAATATTGTTTTTCTTTCAACTAGATTTCATATGCATGGCAGGGGCGGCGGAACAGATTTCATTTTGGGAAGGCTAAATTTTTTTCCGTGACCTCCCGCCCCCGTCGGCAAAAAAGTTTCGGTCAGTGTACCATTTTAGAGGCACAAAAAATTTTCCGGACATACACAC